ATATTCTCTCATTTATGTATGTATGTATGTTTACCTGTGGGTGTGACATCATATGTTTTTTCATTGTTTGTCATCTTCATATGTGTCAGTTAAGCTGCAGGTTTATTTCATTCTTATTGGCTCAGTGAATCCCTGTTTCCTTGATAATAAAACCCTGAATTCGAACAGTGAGATCTATTGTTAATACTCTGGATTCATCCTTTTCCCCTGGTTTTCATTAGGTTCCGAGCTCATGCCCAAAGCCCTCTCCACTAGGATAGTGGGAGGCATTTGGTGGTTTTTCACACTTATCATCATTTCCTCGTACACTGCTAATCTAGCCGCCTTTCTGACAGTGGAACGGATGGAATCCCCCATTGACTCAGCAGATGACTTAGCAAAGCAAACAAAAATAGAATATGGAACCATTGAAGATGGAGCAACCATGACCTTTTTTAAGGTAGGACCCTTAAAATTGATTAACAAGAGGGGGGGAACCCTATATTTTCTTACTTCTACTCATCAAATTAGCAGGCAGGAAAGCCATTTCTTCATTTAGATTATTTTTTAAATCAGGTGGTTTTTTTTGGCATATTTGAAAATGTAGGATACATTTAATATAATTTACTTTTGAACTGATAGTTGTTGTTAACATGTTTATCCTGACTTTTTCATCAAGGGACTAATAAAAAAAGCAGGACAAAGGATACTTCTGCTGGATTCTCTTTTAGTGTAACATATATTTACCGATGAATAAACATATACTATTTTATTACTTAGAAACATCAGATATTGGTTTGACATTTGACCAATATGTTTCTGATGTACTAAGGCAGTAGCAAAGTGATATCCTTGTTTGCATTATACTTGGCATAAATTACTAAATAATACAATATCGGAATCACCTTATTGGTAAACCCTGTTCTTATATATATTCAATTTCATTAGACCTTGAATAAGTTTCCAGTTAGAATCCAGTATTCAGCCTCATATGTCAAATTTGTGTGAGCCTGATCTGGACTGATCTGGACTGGGGTGCTAGATAATACCCCTTTCCCATTAAAAAAATAAAATAAAAAGCAATAATACTTTTTTTTGTCAGCATGAATACATTTATTAGGGTCTGATCGATCTGACTTTTGTGATGTTTTTAGCATTTTTAGAACCTTTCTCATGAATTCAATAAATAGTTGAGAAATACAGATATAAATACACATTCTCAACAACGTCATAGAAGCAACAAACCCCAGAAGCATGAGGTTGGAAGTTTTCATCATTCTCAGCTTGCTCACTTGCTGTTCCTGTGAAGTTGTACTGTTAATGGAAGTAGACTTCAAAAATAAGATCAAGGTTGCTCCTAACTTTGTATGCGTGTGTATGTATGGGAAGTGAACTATAACAGAACAAGCTGCTACTATATCCTAAAACTTCTTTATAGCTACTCATTTGAACAAACAGTTTTTATTTCAGTTTCATTTATTTTCCTGCTTGTGGACTACAATAGTGTCGGCATCATCCTTTCATTTCTGAAGGAACAAACATTTAGTTGCACTAAAGGTGAATAAGCTGCTATGGTGAATAAAATATGTGTTGGTCATTCACTTCTCAGGGAAAACTGTTAATATTTTCAAATGGATTTAAATACACTGCCTCTGGGGAACTGGGAACAGCTGATTTTGTTGGTCTCTTTGATTAAAAGAAACATAATAGCATGTGGGAAATAATATAACGCAGCTTATATAAAAAGTTTAAGAAAACAATTGATAGATTTATGCTACTGTTAATTGCATATATATTTGTGTACTTATGACCTATGGTTATCCTGATATTTGCAAAATAGGTAATAACTTTCAAAATTAATTATTATTCTGGTGACCTAATAATTTGACTGAATTTTGTCTCAGTTTATGAATAATTTAGATATTTCTGCTGATACCACAAGAGTTAAGTAAACATAAACCAAGCTCTGGTGGAAATTCAATTTACTCTAGAAATTAAAACTAATTAATATTTCACTACCCAAAAAGAATGAGAAATGCTTTTACTTGTGGGTTGTTTTGCAGAAGATGTACATAGCATCTTAATGAAAATTTTATGAAGGGAAAAATACTCTTATTTAGTAGGAACTAATCAATTATAGCTGCCGTAATAGTTAGAGCATTGAAGCTGTCAGAACATGAATAGGGGAATGTTTGAAGAACTCTTTTTTTTTTTTTGTCTTTAAAGAGACCATATGATTAACCTCCCAGAGAATATAGATGACACAGATAATTGATTCTCCTTTACCAAAGAAGAGTAGAGGGCTTTAATTTACTGTCATATTTATTTTGATCTTGTAAAGAACATCAATCATCTATTTTATCTGAATGTATGTCTGAGAGGAAAAACAATGTATCAGTGTCCAATTATTGGTACCACTCTTCCTCCTAAACTCTTAAAAAGCAGGGTCTTTTTCTTTTTCTTGTCTGATGCTATTCATTGCTTCTTTTCTGTTCCCAGAGTCTTCTTTACAATATTTTTTTAATTTTATTTCTTCCAAATAATTGCTTTTTATGCATACATATTAAAAGTTTAACCCTGTAGCATCTATTACCACATAAGAAAGCAGATAAGATAATAAGAGGAGAGGAGAGGAGAGGGGACGGGATGATATGGGCTGGGCTGGACTGAGCTGGGATAAGATAAAATAAGATATAAGATGATAAGATAAAATAAGATGATAACTTTTATTGTCATTTTTTACTGGCCTACATTAAAAATGAAATTGGTTGCCTACACTCAAGAGAAAGTATATAACTACCCATACATAACACTCATATACACACATTATATACATACATAAATATATACCTGCACCCATACACATATATATTAATCACTGCCCATTTTGAATACATAGTGGAAAGAGAAAACTTGAGAGTTCTCAAGGTTGATGGACTGAATTTGGATGTTCTGCTTTGGATACCACGAAGCCTTCTCTCAGAAGGTAACAAGGAAAACAAGGTCGTGAAGAGGATGTATAATGTCCCAGACAATCCTGCAGACTCTGCTCAAGCATTTCTTATGTGCTATGTCCTGGAAAGAAGGAAGTGAACTGCCAGTGATCTTTTCTGCCATTGTCACCACTCTCTGCACTGCCTTCCTGTCTGAAGCAGTAAGTGGTGCAAATATGGTGTAAGATTGCAGTTGAACGTATTTTATATCCAAAGATGGAAACTTGGAGGATACAATTTTAATTAATATTAATTTATTTTATACTAGAGTTAGAATTAATTTTTATTTGATAATTAGAATAACAAAAGTATATGTTAAATTATTGTGTAGTTCAGTAAAACATACGTTCAATATGTGGCTCAAATTATTCCATATGCAATGGAGTGAAAAGTAGATACCTGCCAAAATTAGTTTCCTTAGAAAATAGGGGCTGCTGCTTTCAAGCTTATTTTTTCCCATTAGATGAAGGTGCAAAATTATAAGGCAAGTTACATGTTAAAAATTCTGAAACACGATGTCTCTGAATATGATCATTCAGGAATTTATAATTAATGTCAGGACTGACTTAGTCTTTCCATTCAAAAAGGTTTTTTTTTCTTTTCTACACATATTACTTTTTCTAATTTTATTTATGTAGCACAATTAAGCAGATGTCAGAAGCTGCTTGAGTTATCGCATTAATATTTGCAATCCAATTATATGAGGAATATTTGGTCCTAAAAATGAAAGTTCACTCCTTATTGACATGGCATAAGAAAGATAGCAGTAGGCTGGTTATGAGTGTCTCCTATTAGAGAAAGATAAAAAATAAATAAAAACTAAGCAAAACTGCCTGATTCTAACATAACATAGTGCAAATAACTTCATTCTTTGGGTTAGATGAAAATATGAAACCTCAATAATAACAGGGTCTGTCAAAAGCCATGTGACATTATAGCTGCTGCTCTGAATCTTAGTAATTTCTTTTGTAGATGATAGATAGATAGATAGATAGATAGATAGATAGATAGATAGATAGAT